GTGTGTGTGTGTCTGTGTCTGTGTATGTCTGTATCTGTGTCTCTGTGTCCGTGCCTTTGTGCCCGTGGTTCTGTGTCCCTGTATCTAAGTGCTATTTTTTCCCTTTTTATGTACGTGTTTGTATTTCAAAACCGTCATATATATATATGTATATGTATATTGTATTTGTATAAATATAGGTGATATTTTATATAAAAAACGACTTTGTTATGTTTCAGTATCTGAAAGGTGCAAACTATGTACTTAATCGAGCAAAAGTTCTAACGACTCCAATTTGAGGTATTGCATGTGCTCAAAGACTAAGTAACGATTAACATGTTATGTTGATATAGCCTTTGGTGGATTCGAGAATGAAACCCCTTTCATATATATCATCTTATTGCTATTTTGGTGTTCCTTTTTAGTTTCTGCAGAATGCAAGCAGTATTCAATATGCAGATAGGATTCTCTATATTCGCGTTAACGTCTCAAGTCCATGCCTGAACGTCAGAAGTACGTTCGAAGGGCTGTATAAATGAATACGTTTTGACATTTCAAGTGTTTGCGTATTTCCCTCTGCAGTTCCTGCAGAGTCGCACGGCCAATCTACTGGACGAGAAACGGCTACTCGATGAGGCTGATGTATTTCGGCTATACCTGGGAGCCTTATATCACCAACACTACACATTTGTCGATAAAGGTAAGTACCAATCACCATTGACCTAAGTATGGGGCTGCTAGGTGCTTGTATGAATATGTCGCCATGGACTCGGGTGTGGGGATGTGAAGTTCCCATATACACCCGCCACATACGTCAGTAGGAGTGTGTTGCATCACCATTGGCCGGAGTGTGATTCTGTTGTGTGCTTACATAAACCCGGCCCATACATCGAGAAATGCAGTTCCTTAACTTTTCATAGGTATAGGGTTATTATGTGGTTATAGCAATATGGCACATACAGCGAGAAGTATATATCAAGTTACTATAGTATTGCACATGTACCTGATATGTGCTTCCACAGCCACATATATCAATGGAATATTCCGAACTTCACCCATATAAGTATTTACATATAGACCTGATGGGTGCTTCCACAACTACATATATCAATGAAATATCCCGAACATCACCCATATAAGTATATACATATAGATCTGACATGGTGATATCAGCACTACACATACAACTATAGGCATAGCTTTATTAAACGTACGCGTAAAACGGAATGATATGTGCTTTCACGATCACGGGACATGCCTCGATCGATTGCGTTTATATTCCCCTGAACATATAGGTGTAGGATTGGCATGGGCCTATATGGACACGACACATACCTTAGTCTACAAAGTTTATATGCATCTGTATATATAGGTGTAGGGCTAGTATGTGCTATTTGGACGCCATGTATCTCAATCCACAAAGTTTATGTTCACCTGTATATATAGGTCTGGGGCTAGGGTATGCATCTATGCACACGACACATTCCTTAATTCACAAAGTTTATTTACACCTGTATATATAAGTGTAAGTCTGGTATGTACCTACACGGACCTACCACATACATCGATACACGCCAATATCAATATCTCATTGCGTGTGTGTATGGCTCTGATTTGTGCTTCCGCGAACATGGCACATATATCGAAACCCCTCAGCCTGAACTCGCTGCTGTGTCTATTTGCTCTATTACTTTGACTGTTTCTTATTCGTAAATTCTCTACCATTATCGTCATTTATTGATTGGATACAATAGATGTGCCCGAGTCAATTCTGCAGCTGAAGCAGATTCCCGGAGTGACAGCACAGTCTACATTCATCAATAAATCAGTCACAGATCAGGTAACGCTAAGGAGGCCCATGTAGTTAGATATATATATATATATATATATATATATAGACTAATTATTTATA